AGTCTAATCACATAGCCAGATGTGGTGGCTCACACTTATAATCCTAGCACTTCAGGAGGCTGAGGCAGGTGCATTGCTTGAGCTCAGGAGTTCAAGACCACCCTGAGCAAGAATAAGACTCCATCTCTGCAGAAAAAACTGGAAAAACTGGCCAGGCATTGTGGGAGACATCTATAGTCCCAGCTGTTCAGGAGGCTGAGGCAAAAGGATCTCTTGAGCCCAAGAGTTTGAGGTTGCTTTGAGCTGTAATGCCACTGCATCCTACCCAGGGGGACATAGGTTGTCTCAAAGAAAAAAAAAAGTTCTCACCTTGACTGTTACTGTTTGGGAGTTAGTAATCTAGAAGGGAAAACCCTATAAAATGTAACCTTTGTTTCCTACTTAAATACTTCTCTTATTCCTTATCAGGTGACATTGATGGTTACTACTTTAGTATTATAATTGAGTTAGTTATATTGTATGTTGTTTGTCCATATCCATGATTAAGTTGAAGAAAAAAGTATCTTTTAATCTGTTGATGTGTGTTTGTTTATAAGTGGTCTGGAGTCGTGCCTATCAGCCTGATTTTAGGTCATGTGCATAGTTGTTGGAAGACAGGTTATGTTCCCACTGAATGCTGCCATATACATACATACACGCACATATATATATATACTTGTGTATTTGTATTTATACAAATTTGCTTTTTTTAAAATCTTTTGGTAGAAAATGATGCATCCTGTTGCCAGCAGTAATCCAGCTTTCTGTGGGCCTGGCAAACCTTCCTGCCTCAATGAAGATGCCATGAGAGCTGCTGATCAGTTTGACATATACTCTTCCCAGCAAACCAAGTACAACCACACAGTCAGCCACAAACCAATGGTTTGTCAGAGGCAAGACCCATTAAACGAAACACACTTGCAGACTACAAGTGGCAGAAGCATAGAGATAAAAGATGAACTAAAGAAAAAGAAAAATCTCAACCGATCTGGTAAGCGTGGCCGACCTTCGGGAACAACCAAATCAGCAGGATACCGGACCAGCACGGGCAGACCCCTGGGAACCACCAAAGCGGCTGGATTTAAAACAAGTCCAGGCAGACCTTTGGGTACAACTAAAGCTGCAGGATACAAAGTCAGCCCAGGGAGACCTCCAGGTAGCATTAAAGCTCTGTCCCGTCTTGCGGATCTTGGTTATGGCTGTGGCACTGCTGCTTTTCCTTATCCTATGATGCATGGCAGAGCAGTTCATGGGGTAGAGGAAACCAACAGTGAAGTCAAGCCACCCAATGAGTGAGTGAGGCAGAAAAAGAGGACCAGGTTTAGAAGATTGTGAATAATTCCAAAGCTTCTTGGTTTTATTTTGACATACATTTTTATGGTCTGGGCTTTTCAAATTTGTTTTCGTATTTGAGTTTTTTCCCTGTTTTTGTTCAGAAGCTGCCATATGCTGACAGATGCACTCAGGGCATGAGCAGTGGCATTATATTTGTACATAGATAGGTTCAAGTGTAATACCTAACAAAGTCATTTTTGCTTTTCCTTTACATTACAGTCATGTCTCATGTTTCATTACTACTTTTGGGCCATTCTAAATAGATGCTTTATGTGCTAATCAGCTGAAATCATTATACCTATTAATTTGTGAAGTAAATCTACAATATAATAAAGATACTGTCTAAGGTATTTTTAACTGATAGAACAAAAAACAAATGATTCAGGATTACTTGAATCACTAATTGTGATTTACTCACTAATTGTGAGTGCAACATTTATTTTCACAAAACAGACACAGATATTTGTATGCTTTGTCATTTGCATAGATTCAGGTGTTAAAAAAAACCTTATTTTTAATGTTCTAAGTTTAAGCAGCTTATTTATTGACCTACATGGCATTAGTTGATTTAACCATTATTCCTAAAATAATTCTTTAGTGTTTGTCTTTGAGCAGTTATAGGTTGTGTTATTTTTTAATTGCCTAAGAGCATATATACCAAACACTACAAACAATTCATACTTAGAAAAAAGTTAAACTATTTTGTAAAAACTGCACATTACATTTTTTGTGAAATACCATGCATTCTGAGAATAACATATTTCATATGATAGAAAAATAAACATTCTCAAGGTCTGCATGTAGCTATAGTCAGTATATTTTGCCTTTCAGATAATTAGTGAGTTTTAAAGTATTATGTTTTAAAACATTAATGTTGGTCATTTATTTGAAATATTTTTAGTTTTTCTGAGAAGTCGTTCCATTGCATTAGCACTTAATGTGTTTTCAGGTTTATATCTACCAAAGGACACAGATTTAATGGTAGACTGTAAAACTGGTATAAACAGAATGCAGTTTCCTGACCATCAGAACCCAGATATTAAAAAATATATAGGAATCCATCTATGCATGAAACATGTAAAAAATATGTTGGTTAGTTTAATTAAAAATCTTATTGTGGCTTCAATGAGACCACTTCATCCAAAAGAAAAATTTTATCCCCTAATAATGTTTGTTTTTAAAACAAGATAGAAAAGAGAAAAAAATATTGAATAGATACGTATGATATGAACAGAGGGAAATCTTTTTTCTTTCCTTTCTGAAAGTAATGTTCCTTGTTAATATACATCTAATTTATTCTGTTTGTTCTAAATAAAAAAGTATAAACTTCAGACTTGAAAAAATTCCACGGAACTTTACAGTGTTTGTACTTACGGATTTTAAATGCCTTTGAGATGAAAACACAGATTTCAGGACCCTAAAACTTTTAAAATAATTAAAAATTTAAAAGGACACATATTGTATTGTTTGGGCTTGCTCTCAGTTAATGAAAAAACTGATTGCAAATGGATGTCATGTTTCATACCTTTTTTATCAGGAAAAAAGCAGCAAGCCTTCAGGTGTTCCAGCGATGCCTGACACAATGAGCTGGACTTTATGCTGCTCTTTACAGTAAGAGGTGTTGCATTGTATGTGGGGACTATGTGTGCACTGGCGTCTAAGACAGTGACCTCAACAATAATATTAGCTTTGCACAAACCATAGAGAAAGATGTTGGAAGACTACATAATCAGTTGGAACATTCTGGCAGCTAAATTGCTACAAGAGCTTCTTGCAGAAGCTTATAATATAAAATTCTTAATAATTTACTCAGAACAGTATAACTTCTGACACACACATATGCTTGCATCTTTATTCATATGTTCATTATTTACTTTTCTTATGTATATGTCACTTAGCCATTTCTCACAATGATGTTCAATAGTTGGCTGCTTAGAGATCATTTTCTAGGGCTGGGTATGGTGGTTCCCGCCTGTAATGCTAGCATTCTGGATGGTTGAGGCAGAAGGATTATTGAGTTCAGGAGTTGGAGACCAGCTTGAGCAAAATCGAGACCCTCTCTCTATTAAAAATAAAAAAAATTAGCTAGGCATCATGGTCATCCATAGTCTCAACTACTTGGGAGACAGGCAGGAAGATCAGTTGAGCCCAAGAGTTTGAGGTTGTAGTGAGCTATGATGATACCACTGCACTCTACTAAGGGTGACAGAGTCGGACTCTGTCAAAAAAAAAAAGAAAAGAAAAAAATCCTTTTTCAAGCTAGTTCTAACGAAAGTTGTTTAATTAAATGTTTTACCATATAGCATTGTCAGACATTTGATAGCATGTTTTAAGTCCATTGACATTTCCTTTGTAGTTTGTTTTCATTCCTGATTTTGTTATACACATATATACTTTTTTCTCCCCTGCCCTTTCATATATCATTCTTCTTCCCCTTCCCTCACCCTCCAGTACATCTACTAAGTGGTGCTGTGCTGTGTGTCAGAAGATAAAACAGGTGTATTATTGTATAATGAATTTTGTACACATGTTTATGAAATCAACTAAAGGAGTCATGTTCTTAACAGTGTCTATTATCAGGAGCTACATCCCAAGAACAAAAGGGGGGAAATGGCTACCTTTGTGAATGGATAACATCATTTAGAAAGCTGAATTTTCTGTTCATGTGAGCAGTTACCTGGAATGTTAGATCTGTACACTGGTGAGCATGTCCTAATTCCATTTACTTTTCTCCTTGTGAACAGTTTACTGGTGCCATGCTGAAGAAAAATACATCTAAGTAATAACATGAATGAAGTCTTAAAATATTAAATATTTTACTTCTATATAATCTAAAGACTATGTTGTGCATCTTTTGTAACACTGTCTCTTGTCATGATAAACACTGAAATAGCATGTTAAACAGTTGCCTACACTTCAGTATAATCAGTTGGGGAAAACTGGCTTTTTCCCCCTACTCTATGATTGTTCCTTGAAAGATAAATTGCTAATTTTATACTATATAATTCTCTTCTTCACAAAATAGGTTTCACTATTCTGTATTAAAACTGTTGGTCAGAAAATGATCTGCTATTCAAGTAAGTTTACTTTTTTTCCTTTAAAACAATATTTTAACATGCCTTATTTATTGTTATATTAACAAATAAGGAGCTAATACAGATGAAATGCTCATTTTTTGACAGATAAAACCTTGCATAACTAATCTTTAGTATGGGATGATTTTGATACTATCTTTGGAGTTTTGCACTGGATATTAAAAATATATACTGGCACAATGTATTGAAAGAAAATAAGTAGCATCTGGTTTAATTTTTAATATATGGGGACTTTTTTAAATCAGTGTTTCAATCAGACTAAAAAATTCTTTATATTTTTAATTTACTTTTTAAAAATACCATCTGTCAAAGTAATATTTATTCCAAACTGATGTTTGTGTGAATTTACATGTATATTTTCATGAAATAAGAATAGTGTTTCTTTGAATTAATGAGGAAAAAAATTTGGATCCATTTATTGGGTTAAGGATAAACCATTCAGTGTAAGAATAAACCACAGTGTGTGAGGTAAATTAAACTTCTACTTTATATTCTCAGAAGCTTTAAAAGAAAAATCCAGAGGATATTGATTGATCAATAATCCTAACCAATATCCTTAGAAATCATTTTTCAAGGCTGATTGGTGTGGTGGCTCTACTGCTACTGTTGTCATTGTCTCTGTATGCAGTAAAATTTTATTATCCCTTTGTAACAAAATGTAGTTTCAACAGTGGAAAACGTTTTTCATTGGATATAAACAGTTTTGATGCTATAATGTTTTTTTTTTATTATAGCTTAATTATATGCTATTAAACTCTAGGATGTATCTAAATCTTTCCTTTGCTTTTTCTCCCTTCCCTGAAGTAGATAAGTCTCTGCTCTCAAATATAATGTATTTAATTTTTAGAAATTTAATGCTATAGTAAATCATGTGTGTGATTTAAAGTAATCAGACCACTTTGATTCTTTAAGTTTTCATGATTTCCTTTTTTCACAGGTAATTTTGGAGAAAATAATTACCAATTAACTAATAAGCACGCTGTCCTCTGCTGTAAAAAGTCTTAATAGATAACTGTATATGTTTTTATGTCCATGAACTTGAGCTACTCGTGTGCAATTATGTGTATGGGAATGGAGTAGTGTTCATGATTTGTATCTACATCACCATATGGATGTATATTTATTAATAAAGTCATGATTTTAAAACCAACTGTACTTACTAGTTTATTTTTTAGTCTGATATTTTTCAAGTAGATAAATGTTTTTCATAACTGGATCTTGTATATTTTGTAGTATTTTGCTTTCTTAAATCTGCCCCCTTACTTTTTTCTTTTTTTTTTTTGGAGACAGAGTCTTACTATGTCACCCTCCGTAGCATGCTGTGGTGTCACAGCTCATAGTAACCTCAAACTCTTGGGCTTAAGCGATTTTCCTGCCGCCGCCTCCCAAGTAGCTGGGACTACGGGCACCTGCCATAACACCCAGCTATTTTGTTGTTGTAGTTGTCATTGTTCGGCAGGCCCAGGCCGGGTCTGAACCTGGAACCCGCCAGCCTCAGTGTATGCGGCTGGTTCCCTAGCCGCTGAGCTATAGGCACTGAGCTCTTACTTTTTAATTGTTTTTTATTTTTTTAATATTCATAAGTTCATTCATTTAATTAGAGGTGGAGTCTCATTCTTTCACCATGGGTAGAGTGCCATGGTCATAGCTCACAGCAACCTCAAACTCTTGGCCTCAAGCAACCCTCTTGCCTCAACCTCCCAAGTACCTGGGCCAGCACAATGCCTGACTAGTTTTTCTATTTTTAGTAGAGAAGGGGTCTTGCTCTTGCTCAGGCTTGTCTCAAACTCCTGAGCTCAGGCAGTCTACCCATCTTGGCATCCCAGAGTGCAAGTATTACTAATGTGAGCCAGCATGCTTTAAGGGTACTTGTAACACTTGAATGAATGATTGTACCATCTCAAAAATCTCATGTGGCTCAACTCTCATAGCTCAGTGGTTAGGGCACTGGCCACGTATACTCCGGCTGGTAGGTTTGAACCAGACCAGGGCCTGCTAAAACACAATGACAACAATAACAAAAAAAAATACCCTCGTGGTGGGTGCCTATAGTTGCAGCTCTTTGGGAGGCTGAGGTAAGAGAATCACTTAAGCCCAAGAGTTTGAGGTTGCTATAAGCTGTGACGCCATGGCACTCTATAGAGGGTGACATAATGACACTGTTTCCAAAAAAAATGAAAAATAAAAATGCAATGAAAAAATTTCATATGTATATAAATATATATACTTTTAAAATATATATACTTTTTTTTGAGACAGAGTCTTGCTCTCTTGTCTCGGCCAGAATGCAGCATTATCATA